GCACTGTGCTAAGCATGGAGGATGTGGCAATGAGTAAAACCAACTCCCTGTGCCCAAGAAGGTCATTGTCTGGAAGAAAACAATGTAATGTCAATGCCAATAGAATATGAAAATTTTAAGATAGGGAAAGAATCGAGTGTAAGGAACACATAAAAGGAGCATCTAATCCCGTTTTAGGGGGGAAAGGAGAAGAAAAAGAGGGCCATCTGAAGCAAGACCTGGAAGACTAGCAGAAAGCCAAGATCAGGGCAGAAACATGTCAGAGAGAGAGAAAAGGAACCACTGTGCAAGGCCCCAAGTTCCGGGCCTATCCAGGAAGGAATGAAAACAATGGTGGAGTCACGCTAGGAAATAGGATGCTGATCTGGGCATTCAGACTCTTCCTAAGGGCAATAGGACAATAACCATTATTGTGAGTGGTGTAAATAATTGAAAAGACTGCCAAAAGAAGGAAGACACTGAGCGTGCAAAATGCTCTCTCATGTGCTTTGAGGCATTCTCACTACGCAAGGCTCATAACTTGCACTGGACATAGTTCACTGTGTGAATCAAATAAAATGTACACTAACATCTAATACTTAACAGTGTGTACACATGTATATAAGCATAAGCCTATTTACTGTTGAGTTGCATGGTAACTGAGCTCTGATAACCATAATCAATAGTACTATTTACAGAATTAAGCCAATTTTCTTTTCTCTTGTCACTCTGTTAGCCTCTAAATGTGTATTATTATTGAAATATCATCGACTGTTCCTCACCTCATGTTCAAGTGATTAAATGCAAATTAAAAGGCAAAAATCCACAATCGTATTTCCTGGGACATGGGGCATCTCCCATCACTCGACATACTCCATGTTGAAATAACTTACATGTGAATGAATCGGATAAGTGAAGTATCGTGTGCTCAAACAGCAATAGCCTAATAAGGTGCAAGCAGATAGATTCTGAAACTGTAATTGCCTTGTGAGAGGAGCCTTTTTATGATGAGGCATAAGAAACAATCACCAAATAAAAGGCTTCTAAGAAAAGTGCAGACACCATCCTAATTGCATAAAAACAGGAGGGCTTATATGGTCAACGATAGGGTTTTTATTGCAGTCATTTTCTATCAGGCTTATTCCTTTCTTTCTGTGAGTACTTTTATACTAAAGGAGAGGTGTATCTTTCTCAGTGGAATAAATTGTGCAGTGAACAATTATGTATAGAAATAGTAAGTCAATAAAGTTGTTGAAGCCTTTATTTCAGAAACTGCAATCTCAATGATTGCACAGATGAAAAGAGAAAGCTTTGTGACTCCTATATGGAGTCACGCAAGCATGATTAGGCTGACAGGAGCCACCATGAGCCACTCACTGGAGGGAATGCAGAAGCCCAGAACCCGGACCAAAGCTAGGATGAGCTTTTACCCGCCACTCCTAGGAATGGGTTACCCCATCATGCTGCTGGTTGGGGAGGGTCAGGGGCATATTCATCATGGTGGAACAACACAGTCATTGTACCTGAGCATTATTTCAAGTGTGCCATGTGTCTCCCTGTGCATGGCAGGATTATTCTCATCCTTCTTCCTTTCTTTTATTTCTTCCCATACCCTGGTGATCTAAAGTTATGCAATGAATGGCAATCAGTATCAGCCAGAGACAGATTCCCTTGTCTTTAATGACTTTTGCTCCAAGTATGGACAACAGACCAGCAGCTGGCATCATGTGAACTTGATAGAAATGTAGGGCCTTGGGCCCCACCCTAAACCTACCAAATCAATACATCTTAACAAGATCCCCAAGTGATTCCCATGCTGTGGATAAGCCACTCTAAAGAATATGAAGCACCTTTTGCAGCTCTAAGAAGCCACTATCATCTTCTAGGCTGGAGCCAGGAGTGACGTCTTCATAACCTTCATGACGTGAGGCAGCTGCAGGATGGAGCCAGGACACTGGGATGAGAGAAGAGGGAGGAAAGAGAAATGGAGGGAGACAAATGTAGATAGGCCTCTCAGGGGCACACTAAGGCTAGCTCTGAATGCACTGATGGGTGACTCATGAGTAAATAACACCATTCTCCGGACTTTTCTACAAGTGCGTTGACTCGGTGTGTGCTATTTTGTGTTGTTATGAGGCACAATGACTTCTTTTGAGTTTTCTGAGAGTAACTTAGCTTTGTTTAAAAATGGTAGTTTGGCACTAAGTCCTCATATTTTGCCAACTCTCACTGTGGCCTATAGGTGCAAGACCCTGGCAGTGGCTCCCCTAAGACTGTTTGTGGGGAGTTCTGCAAGGAACTTATACATGTGTTCTCAAACAATTACCATGTGGCATCTGGACGATGTCATGGCCTCTTCTAGGTAGAGCCATCATTGCTAGGGAGAGTTGCCCATGTTGGGCATGGCTGTCACTTTATTTTGGGTTCCACTGTGCCCAGAGGCCCTGTAGCCCTGATAACCAGATGCTCCACCACCAATGCTAGATCCCTGAGGGGACCAGAGCCAGGCAGAGAGGGCATACACTCTGTCAGAGAGATTCCAAAGCTTGGCTATGGCCAAGCCACTGATTGCTTTGAGATTTGCTTTCCCATTTATAGTAAGAGTGACTTCTACCTTGAACTTACATGGGTATATAGATAAGCAAAGGACCTGGCTCCAGGTGGGCACGTTAGCTTGTTAGTGTGGTCATGCTTCTACCTTGAGTACATTTTCAATGGACTTTATTTGACTAGGCTCTAGAAAGCTATTCCAGGGCCCCTTTTTTTTACTATAAAGAGCTTGTGGATTTCTGTGGGCTGCAGGTTGTAGGCTGTGAAGACAGTCCGAGAGTGACTTCTCGTAACCCCACTGATCACCAGCATTCATGGGGCTGATCCGGCTGGCTCCCTTCTCGTGCCCCCCCACCCTTGAGATTATTCCTACATGAGAAAAGAAGGCAATGAAGAAAATGAGGACCCTTGCTGAGGAGATCCCTCCTGACCTTGCCGTGCCCTCCCCATGCATGCCATCTGTCTTCCCTGATTCAATTTGAAAACTGGGGCTGCTACTGTTCACATCCAACAGGCATCATCTGACCACCTCCTCCCTTCCAGTGCAAGTGTTCCCAATACAACATCCTCATACAGAGACACGCGCTACCAAACACGCACCACCTTCACACACAGGCACACCCACACTATACTCACTCCACCCTCACCCGCAGATACACACATGCACTCATGCCCAGGCTGTGAAAGGAAAATAAATCTCTGGACCCCCAGTCACGAAGCCAAAGGGAAAAGTCAAGGTGGAAACTGCATGAGGCAAACTGCCTCTCATTTTACTCCTAAATAAGACACCTGCAAAGATAAAAAAAAAGTCACATACCTCTCTCGTGATTTCCCCAAAAGCAAATTCCTTGTGGACAAAGAACAGACAGAACTCATCCCTCTGCTCACCTGGGACAAACGCATACCCAATGCTTCCTCTGCCCTATCGTTTCACTAAGCCAGACCAAAGCATAAGTGACTATTCCTCTAAATTGTGTATTCAGTGAAAGTCTAATCAGACTCAAAAGAATGTAACCTTTGTCTCTTGTCTCCCTATGACCTGGAAGCTCCCTCCGCTGCCTCGAATTGTCCCACCTCTCTAGATCAAACCAATATACATCTTACACATATTGATTGATGTCTCATGTCTGTCTCCCTAAAATGTATAAAACCTTGGGCACACACATGTCGGCAGGACCTCCTGAGGCTGTGTCACCAGTGGGTCCTTAACCTCGGCAAAATAAACTTTCTAAATTGTTTGAGATCTGTCTCAGATACTTTTGGGTTCACAAGACACACACATACCACATCACATGTATACACATACCACCTTCACACATAGACACACATACATGCACATATGCACACACAAACACCACCCTCAAAAACAGACACATACACACACACACACACACACTCACACACACACACACGAATTACCTTTCATTGATATAGCTGACCTCCCTTTTATTATTACCAGTCAACCATGGAAATAGCTCTAGAAAGCTATTCCAGGGCCTCTTTTACTCCCAATCTCCACTCACTGCAACCTTTATTTCCCAGGTTCAAGCAATTCTCTTGCCACAGCTTCCAAGTAGCTGGGACTACAGGCACATACCACCACACCCAGCTAATATTTTTCGGGGAGGTATTTTTAGTAGAGACAGGGTTTCACCATGTTGGCCAGGATGGTCTCCATCTCTTGACCTCATGATCTGCCTTCCTTGGCTTCCCAAAGTGCTGGGATTACAGGTGTGAGCCACTGCACCCAACCTCAATACTTACATACAATAAAACCCTTAAAAAATTTTTTTTTGGCAAAAAAAGTGATTTTTTTTTTTAGGTAGAGAAAGAAAAAAAAGAAGAAAACTTCCACATAAGGGCGGGGGAGGGGATCCAAACATTGAGTCTGAAGGGGTCTGGAAGCAGGGGACTTTTTAACCTAGGAGGAACCCCCACCTTCTCCAAGACCTCTGGCCAATGAAAGGAGTTCTTTAGGACTTCACTGGAGTGACTGACTTGATTCTTCCCACAGCCATGAAAACTAAAACAGAGACCTTTAAATCTTCTGGATGGAGAGAGATGGGAGTGGGGCATGGCACTGGGAAGTTCTTGCCCCTAAAACTACACTCCCTTGTGGACCCGGAAAGAGAACACATTCCCTCAGGAGGAACCCTTGGGCCCCTAAGGAGTTACAGTGAGCTATGATCTTACCACTGTACTCCAGCCTGGGTGACGCAGCAACACTGTGTCTCTGAAAAAACAATAATTAGGCTGCGTGCCGTGGCTCACACCTGAAATCCCAGCACTTTGGGAGGCCCAGGTGGGTGGATCACTAGGTGAGATTGAGACCGTCCTGGCCAACTTGGTGAAACCCAGTCTCTAGCTGCCAACAGGTAAATGCTATTGCCTAGCAGAAGACTGCAGTTCTGTTCATACTAGAACCAGCAGGGGGAACTTGACATTAAAAATCTAGGACCAGAATCTCAGGATGGGTCTCATTAGAAAACTGAGTTGTATAGGGACTTAAACAAAATCCATCCCAAAGAATTTGAGCTTTAAGGTGATAATGTCTTTTCAGAGATTGTAGCACATGAAGAACCCATGGACATTACATAGAATATGAACAGTTAGCAGAAAAAGATCTCATGACTAAAGTGGGGAAGAAAGCAAAAAAAAAAAAAATTACAAAAGGAAAAATAGTTCAGAATACAGGAATATTTACAAGATGTTAAAAAATTACTTATCTTCAGCCAAAATGAGGCCCCTTGGCACTCCCAAAATCTTTGCTTCCTTCTCCTTTCGTTCTTGCTCATGTTTCTTCCGTTGCTCTTCCTTTGTCTGGAAACGGGGTTGTTTGTAAGTTTTCTTGTGGAAATTAATTCTGTTGACATGTCCATTCAGATAATTATTTTCTTCAGATTGCCCCCGTGGTTTAAGTTTTCCAGCAGAATTCCTCTTGGTGGTCTTTATTTTGTGTGTCCCAAGCATAGCCCTGTCTTTTGGGGTGTTCCCAGACATGGTCACATGTGCAGACCTTCTGGCTAGAGTCTTGGGCAGTGAACGCTCATGCTCATCATCTTTAGTAGCAGCTGAAAACCTGACACCTGTTTTAGCTGCAGAGATAGCAGAGTGCTTGAGTGACCCCTTCAGACCCAAGGTACTCTGACATGAAGGACCATAAGATTGACCTTGAGAGCGTCGTTGGCTAATGGGAGTAGAAGCCACAGAGAGTCTTCCTTTCGGAGGTACTGGAGTCGTGACTCCTCCCTTATTGATGAGCTGCTTCAGTTCACTGATGGAATTGTATTCTTCAAAATGTTTCTTTTTCCTCTTACTATATTGATCAATGGACTCCATTTTCTTAAAATGAGCTTCATGAATCTTCTTAAAGTTTGGAGCAGTCATTGCAGTTCTTTTATTTTTTCCAGGTTTGGATAACTCATCTGTGTAGAGAGACTTCTTTCTTTCTGAAGGTATCTTTGAGTCTTTGTTACCATTTATTCCACGTTTTCCTGAGGAAACAGCATTCTCAGCTCCTTGGTGCTCATCTGGAGAATAACCTTTTGCAGTAGCTCTGAAATCCTGGCTTTCCTGCTTTTCATGATTCTGAAATTTAGTGGGATCGCTTATTTTTATTTCTGAATGATCCTGCTGGGAGTCAGGGTCCACACCGACAGTCTGTGCCTTCTCCTTGTTTTGGTGACATGGCCAGTTGGCTCTCTCTATGCATGTTCCTGGCTGCTGATCTGTATCTCAGTCTCATCGCAAGAGGATGCAGAAGTTTGACTTTCATCTTGATTCTCATTTCCTTTTCTTGCCTCATGATTAATGTGGCCTTTCAAGGCTTTTTAGCAACTTGTCTGCCCTCAGGTTGGCCCAGAGACCCAGACTCTTGGCTAAGTTCTGCAGGTCGCTGTACTTGAAGGAGTCCAGCTCCTCTAGGGAGGGGACGACCATCGCGATTCGAAATTCTGGCGATACTCAGAAGACGGATCACACAACTCCAGTAGAGCAGTTGAAATCCCTGGCTCCACCAAAAACATTTTTTTTAAATGAATGCAACTGGCAAAATTCTGCAACTAAAAGTCATTCCTGCCCATGAATTTCTTCCAATCAGGTAAATGAACAGATTACTATTAAAGCAAACTTCATTCATTTAAATTTAAAATTGTAAAAAGATCAACATATCTTTTGGTTCATTTTTTTTGGTAATCACATTATATACTGAACTTCGTTTATTCACAAGTCATTTTTTTTCTCAAAATTTAAGAGTGAGCACAGACATCTATTTTCTTTCATTTTGATTTTTTTCTTGAATATCCCGTGGAAGTAAAATCAATTTGATATAAAGTTCACCCTTTCTGCCACCTCTAGTTTTGTAGTCTGATGGACAAGTCATATGTTTATTCTCTCAGTTCCAAAAACATTGAACCCCAAGATCTGAGAGTTAATTCTACATATTTGATTAGAGTTCTCAGAGAAAGTATCTGAACTCAGAATTGGTGATTTGGCCATAAAATTAGGTGGAAGGAAAAAACATGCTCAGTGGCTCCATTTGGGTGGACTCTACCCACTCTCTCCCTTGCTCAGGTGTCTTTGGCATCCCAAGAGCAAAATACCCCTAGGTCCCTGGCCAGCTCATACCGGAGCATCCTCCCATGACCTTTTTCTAAGACATGCATCTGGAAGGCCAGGAGGATGGGTCCTTGAATCAGCAAGCCAACATGTGCGGGAGTGGAAATCCACAGCGTAGAGTTCCTTGGTCGTCTCACAGCCTAAGGAGGGTTGTGTGGCCTTCTACCATCTTCTGCTAAGTGCAGAACTGTAACTCGATTAGCATTTTCATTTCAATTGAATTAGTGATCCTGTTTTTGACCTTGTGCTTGGATACCTGCATAATGAGGGGTTAATTTAGCTGCGATGTATAGATTTTTGCCAGACTCATAACTAATCTATTGGCAGTCTTGGGGGAAAACATTAAAAGCTGAAGGCATGTAGAATTCATGTTCAGGTAGATAGAGAAAGCTAGAATTAGAGATAATTTGGGGGAATGAGCTGAGTCTTATAAAATATATCTGATGTTTCTGAGGTGGAAGGTGAGTTGGAGGGTATGGTTTCAGGGGTCCTTCATTCTCACTGATCAGTGTGCTTAGGTTTCACTGAGCATGGACGTCTCCTGTCTTCACCGATCGGGACTACACATCCCATTATATAAAAGCCATCTATTGGGCCAGGCATGGTGGCTCATGCCTGTAATTCTAGCACTTTGGGAGGCCAAGGTGGGCCAATCACCTGAGGTTGGGAGTTTGAGACCAGCCTGGCCAGCATGGTGAAAACCCATCTTACTAAACATACAAAAATTAGCTGGGTGTGGTGGCTCATGTCTATAATCCCAGCAACTTGGGAGGCCGAGGCGCAAGAATTGCTTGAAGCTTGGAGGTGGAGGTTGCAGTAAGCCAAGATTGCACCACTGCACACCAGCCTGGGTGACAGAGCAAGACTCCATCTCAAAAAAAAAAAAAAAAAAAGCCATCCATTCAGAGTCAACATTATGCTACATTCACCATGATTTATAGTGTGTGGATTTTTCTATGCTGGTAAAAGCTCTTTTTGATGATCCCTTGCAGATTTTTTAAATATACAAAACATTGAAATTTTCTTGAAATAATAAAAAGTCAGAAGTTGAATGTGAAAAATACCAATGACATAATAATAGTGTTGCCGTATTTTGCACCATGAAGGGAAATGTGTGGTAGTAAGAACGTTGACTCTGGACCTCAGAGATCATCTCTGCCCTCACAATTGACGGGTAAGAAACTGAGTCCAGGAAAGTGTTCGTGACGTGCCAGAAGTACATCCTTGTCTCAAATTCTTTTGACAATTTAATAATTTCATGTGCCATAATTATATAATATGATAATTGATCATATAAACAACATTATTTTCATACATATAAACAAATTTACTATAAGTAATACTTATATGATGATATGTTTTGCCTTCTATACTTTTGACAGGGATAAAAACTGGAAAAATTTATTATTACACAAAGTGACTTTCCTCCACCCAGAAATCAGACTTAACTGAATGGGTCCTGAGTTGTTGGTTTTCTCCCCAGATTCAAAGCAATAGGAAATGTCCCACTGCTTAGAATAACAGAGCACCTTATTTTTAAAAAAAAATTATTTAAATAGCTTCCTAGAAACCTTTTCAAAACTAAGATATCATTGGTGTAAATAGTTTGTTGAAGAACAAATATCTAAACTAAGAGATTGCTGAATTTTCATTTATCACTGCAGTATGGCTATCAGGACTCTGGAAAAGGAAAACATAACTTTCTCCCCAAATCTGGAGATAAAATTTCAGGTCCTTGAAAAGTTTTGATCAATCTCCCCACTTCCCCTCTTCTATGAGAGGCAATTTTATGAGAGACAAATAGAGGATGATACCCCTGGGGTGAGGGGAGGAAACAGATGAGCTGAACATGGAGCCTGGCTGGCATTAACTTGAGGAGCCACAGCCTGATCCCCTTTAGAGGAAGTAGGGTCAGGGGCTGCAGAGACAGGAAATGGAGGTTCCTTGCAGACGAGGGGCAGGACGCTCAAGTCTGTAGAGCTCAGTTCTGGTCCCAGTTCCACCCCCACCCATCTGCTGACCTTGGGTAAACACCCTCCAGGGACCATAGGCTGCAATGATCTACAGGAAAGGGCAGACTGAACCATCTGCCATTTGCCTCCCACCTCTCAAATTTTATGATTCGGTCTCCCCGTTGCCCATCTCTTTCAAGACTTGCTGTCTGAAAGTAAGTCTGTCTGAAGGCAGCTGGGAAATTGGAAGATAGAACAAAGATATTAATTCTATCTTTATTATTTAAAAAAAACAGGGGCTGCCAAGATTGCAGAAACTTCCAGAAGGACCTGCATACAGATTCCTGTCAAGCTCCCCATTGAGGAGGTCTGCCTAGCTTCATGGTCCTTATTTGTAAAATAGGAACCTGCACTAGATTTTTAAAGAGTCTTTCTGAGTTCTGTGGGTTTTTTCTTCTTCTTTTAAATAATTCTATGGCTATCCCTTGGCTAGAATTTCAAGGGGATGATGCATCAAGGGAAATGATTAAGTTGATTAAGTCTTGAATTTTAGAGCTGAAAGGGATCTTTATCTGATTTAACCTCTTTAACCTAAAGATGAACTAACAGGAGATCCCAAATCTGTGGTTCCTCCTAACCCAGTCTGCCGACTGCTTGTTCAAAGCTCTTTCTGATACACATCATTGCTTCATTAACCTCTAACTGCAGGATACTTAGAGCATTTTTGGGGTGAGCAGTTAGGATGTTGTCCTCCCACTACTCCACCACACTCTCTTTATATATATGTGTGTGTGTGTGTGTGTGTGTGTGTGTGTGTGTGTGTGTGTGTTCATACATACATATACATTATTGCTCTTCATATATATATATATATATATTTTGTTGCACTTTAGGTTCTGGGGTACATGTGCAGAACATGCTGTATTGTTGCATAGGTACATACATGGCAATGTGGTTTGCTACCTCCATCCCAGTCACCTATATCTGGCATTTCTCCCCGTGTTATCCCTCCCCAAATCCCTACCCCCAACCGTCCCTCCCCTAGTCCCCCACAACAGACCCCAGTGTGTGATGCTCCCTTCCCTGTGTCCATGTGTTCTTATTGTTCAATACCCACCTATGAGTGAAAACGTGGTGTTTGATTTTCTGTTCCTGTGTCAGTTTGCTGAGAATGATGGTTTCCAGGTTCATCCTTGTCCCTACAAAGGACATGAGCTCATCGTTTTTTATGGCTGCATAGTATTCCATGGTTTATATGTGCCACATTTTCCCTGTCCAGTCTATCATCGATGGGCATTTGGGTTGGTTCCAGGTCTTTGCTATTGTAAACAGTGCTGCAATGAACATTTGTGTGCATGTGTCTTTATAATAGAATTATTTATAATCCTTTGGATATATACCCAGTAATGGGGTTGCTGGGTCAAATGGAATTTCTCTTTCTAGATCCTTGAGGAATCGCCACACTGTCTTCCACATGGTTGAACTAATTTACACTCCCACCAACAGTGTAAAAGTGTTCCTATTTCTCCACATCCTCTCTAGCATCTGTTGTCTCCAGCTGTTTTAATGTCACCATTCTAACTGGCAGGAGGTGGTACTTCAATGTGGTTTTAATTTGCATTTCTCTAATGATCAGTGATGATGAGCATTTTTTCATATGTTTGTTGGCCTCATATATGTCTTCTTTTGAAAAGTGTCTATTCATATATGTTGCCCACTTTTGAATGGGTTTGTTTATTTTTTTCCTGTAAATCTGTTTTAGTTCTTTGTAGATTCTGGATATTAGCCCTGTGTCAGATGGGTAGATTGCAAAAATTTTTTCCCATTCTGCTGGTTACCAGTTCACTCTAATGATTGTTTCTTTTGCTGTACAGAAGCTCTGGAGCTTAATTAGATCCCATCTGTCTATTTTGGCTTTTTTTGCCAATACTTTTGGTGTTTTAGTCATGAAGTCCTTGCCTATGCCTAAGTCCTGAATGGTTTTACCTAGGTTTTCTTCTAGGGTCTTTATAGTGTTAGGTTTTATGTTGAAGCTTTAATCCATCTGGAGTTAATTTTAGCGTAAGGTGTCAGGAAGGGGTTCAGTTTCTGCTTTCTACACATAGCTAGCCAGTTTTCCCAACACCATTTATTAAATAGGGAATCCTTTGCCCGTTGCTTGTTTTTTTCAGGTTTGTCAAAGATCAGATAGTTGTAGATGTGTAATGTTGCCTCCAAGGCCTCTGTTCTGTTCCATTGGTCTACATCTCTGTTTTTGTACCAGTACCATGCTGTTTTAATTACTGTAGCCTTGTAGTATAGTTTGAAGTCAGGTAGCATGATGCCTCCAGCTTTGTTCTTTTTGCTTAGAATTCAGTGGCTATGCAGGCTCTCTTTTGGTTCCATATGAAGTTTAAGGTGTTTTTTTCCAGTTCTGGGAAGGGGGTCATAGGTAGCGTGATGCAGATAGCATTGAATCTTTACATTACTTTGGGTAGTATGGCCATTTTCACAATACTGATTCTTGCTAACCATGAGCATGAAATATTTTTTGATCTGT